CTGGTCTTATTTGCGCTATTATTGATACCTGTAATCGAATAATGTAATATAACAACGTACAACGTACGTGAAATCTGGTTTTGTGATATGAGTCATCGATTTTGAGACAATTCTTCTTGCATTTGTCACAAAAATGCCGAGTTTTGGGCAAGTTCTTGTCCTCACGTGATAACCTTTGGAGCACGAACTGCGAACTGCGGTAAACAGCAATGATGTGATAAAAACAACTTCGAAATTTCCTTGAAATGTTTGTGTGCGTTTATTTTCTATGCAACGTTAAAGTCACCGTTCCAGATAATCTACTAACTCCCGGCCTCTGTGATCTTCTGTTTCTCCCCGACTTTGAGCATCTTGTCAAACATGAGCAGTTGGTTTAATAAGCCGGATCCTAAAGGTAATACTTGAGAGGAATCATTCTGGAATTCCCATTGTCTGGCGCTATTCCAGAGTAGGTTCGCTGACCAAAGCTCAAGACGTCGCATGACTTCTCATAGCAATTCAATAGCAAATAAATTCCCTTTTCCTACAAATACGCCCTTCCCATGCTAATCCTTCGTTTTTTTTTAATGTTAGACTGGTAAAGCTAATGACTTCTGTTCAGGCATAGGGTCTTTGCTAGCTCTGGTTTGGGTGAATCAGTTCTTTTACGCAAAAGGGGTTTTGGTACTCCATGGAAAGTGGTCTACCCACTCCAATGCTTTTCCTTCCGCGTCACTGTCATCAAGAAGCATGGCATGCCCCTACACGAAACAGAAAGGCTGCGTTCATACTTTGCGTCAGCGTGTGGCAGCGTTTAAGGATCAAGGAAAGTATAGCTATCGATTTAGCGTTCTGTGTGTGCGCCAGCATTTCCAGCGACTGCCCTCGAAAACGTCAAAACTACTCGCAAAAAACGCTCAGTGCGCCGGGGTACACTTAAAACTCTAGATCGATGCCTATGTTTTCCCTAGTGCGCTCAAAACGCTGCCGCAAATTATGAACTCAGAACAAGGTTTTGGCGTATTGCCCGGAGACATACACGACCTATATGCGACCACAGTGGGCTAGCGTCCAGTGAATCTTTCCCTCTACTACAGTAGTAATTCCATTGCACTCATCAGTTCATTATTAGATCAAATGCGTGAGAATAACAAGAATATTCGAAGAGCTAATCGTGAACTGGAAAGCGATCGGAGAGCACTGGAGCGTCGTGAAAAAGAGCTGGTTTGTTGGCTTTAGGACTAGTTTCGGGGTTCAAGTGGACATCTTTCAATGTTTCGTCTCTTCAGGAAAATGAAATCAAAAAGTTGGCAAAGCAAGGACAGAAGGATGCTTGTGCTGTACTCGCAAAACAGCTTGTCCAATTACGCAAACAGAAGGCGAAGAGTGTTGGAATGAGCTCCAAGCTCACAGGAATCGGAGCACAGAACAAGTTCGTTAGCAATGGGTCTCCTTTTAATTGTTTTTTTTTTATTTATGAACTCTCGTTTTGAGCGCAGCTCTCTGCAGGAGTGACGTTGATGTGTATTACGCTGCTGTCTACCATGGCTGACCTTTTCATTAAGTAGCGCGTCTCACACTTCGCGATCGCGCGAGAATTCGATCTCGAGCGATCGGCAAGCGATCCGATCGCGCGATCGCGAAGTCTGAACGCGCTCTAACTGTTTGCATCCAAATCCTATTCAGCATCGTAGAAACATCCGAAACATGACTTAAAGACATATTTCGCGATTACAGCACGTGGACTTGGGGTCCAAGTATGAGTTGGTGTATACCAGCTGACTCACAAATGAGGGAAAAAAAATAACAAAACTGTGGAAGAAGCGTTCGATAGGGATCCAGAAATAGACGAATATTCCAAAGTAGAGAGAATTTTCTGCGCGGACGAAGAGATCATAGACAAAGGGTCAAAGGCTAACTAGAGGATGAGCGCTACGAAAACGTTCGTTCGTTTCCATACAGAATGATGGAAGGCGTCGTCTGCATTCAGCAACAGAAGTCTGTGAGCATATCTCTACCCAGGGCTTCTACGGATGGCGGCGTTCCTACGGCTTATGACGAACACACCTCCCTCACTTAGTCCATCCTGTCGAGTTCTAATATTTATACTCATTAGGTAATCGCAAAATGTGACTTCAAGCAATGGCGTCATTACTTTAGTAGTCGACCTAGAGGGTTGTTTTTATCCTCCTAGATACCTTCGCTACCAAATAGGCGAACTTGAATGATTGAAAGGCTCGCACAGTTTGTATGAGATAGAAAATTCAAAACCCTGAGTTAGGGTTCTGTCTATCGACTCACTTTTGTTGAACCGGCAAAACCCTACATAACACCACCGACTAAGTAGCTTCTCGAGGCTCATCAGAACAACGTTCTTGGCAAAAACCGTCATTTATACTTCTCAAGCAGTGATGATTATACTTCTTAAGTTCACACATGACGCTACCTGTAAGTTGTTCTGCTAAGGGTAAGCAAATAGTTGGAAACCTGTTCGTTTGCTCCACTGCCAGGGTACAGTAACATGATGTGTGATGGTGGTGCCAGTACGACCCCCCTCTTGAGGGAGGGTTTTGGTACGACCCCTCCTCCTTCCCCAGCTCCTACCCACCACCAATTTCCCACATTTTCCAGTTTTTCACAACCAAAAATTTTGCTGTCGAAGGGGGGTGGTGGCTGGGGGGTAAATAGCTCACATAAAACAGAAAAAAATCAGCGAAAAGTCAACAACCGGGGAATGTTTTCCCCAACGCAGCAAATTCCTGTCAAAGCCACATACGGCCCCCTCTCGCAACAATGACCAGATGCGACCCCCCCCCTTTCAGCAAAAAAGTACGGTCCCTATCTGTTCCACACAACGATGCTGTACCCTGTCCACTGCACTCTGAAGGACTTGAGAAATGGCATTTCTGTTAAGTTGAAGAATAAGTAATCGATGCATTTCCCATTTTAGCCAAATGTATAGCATGAACAAGATGTCGCAAGTAATGGGTCAAACAGTTGGCACGATGAAGACGATGGAAAAACTCATGCCAATGGAGCGAGTGGCAAAGAATATGAAAGAATTCCAAATGGCTCAAGAGCGCCTTGGTCTCTCAGAAGAGGTTGGTTTTGCAGGATACGAATTTCGTTTCTGTTCGGACACCATAACGCAGTGTCACTTCTGAGGGTCTGAAAACAATCTTTGGCTCAAGGCTCAACAGCAGCCACCTACAATCGAGGCGAGTTCCTCTCGAATTTTGTTTTGAGATGAGGTCTCGGTTCGTGAGGCCTGCCCCTGCTCGAACATTGTAGATCAGGCGCATCAATAAAAACTACCATAAAACAGAGACTGAGGAGAGTATGATTTTGTACATAACCAGCCGCGTTGGGACGTAGAGGGAGTGCTCCGGTGAAACAGCAGGCGGTCTTCTACTCCGGTATACTTTTCGGTGACTGGTCTCAAATCTGTAGTGAAGCACTACGCATAAAACACAAACTAGGCCCTCAAGGGTAGGTTGGCTTGCTGGGTATGTATGGTACAGCCTTCATACGTACACCTGGAGAAGGGGTTAATGGTCTGAAACGTAGTTCCTGGAGCAGAGCACGGTCGAATGAGCCCCCTCCCCCTAACTCCTCGCTTGTCGTTTAGCGCGATCCATCTCGTTCTATTTCCCTGGAGTGCGATATCCCTCCAAAGGGTCAACTGCAGCCGTATTTATGCCTCCTATACCTCCTATTACGTGCGATTCGAAAGAATCTCCCTCTGAGGGAGAAACTCCAAAAGAAATTACAGCTTTTCAAAAGAGAGTTTCATGTTAGAGAAAGTTCCCGAAACCTCATCACGTCCACAAGCCAAATACGGCTCCAGATTGCGATCTTCTTCTTTTTTTATACTTCTTGTTATTATATTTCGGATGCTTTTACTGTTGTGTTGAAGATGATGAGTGATGCCCTCGACAGCATACTCGATGAACCCGGTGACGAGGAAGAACAGAATGCTATTGTGAACCAGGTCTTGGACGAGATTGGCATCGAATGTCAGAGCAAGGCAAGTTTTCTACTGTCTTGTACCTTGACCATCTGGGCTCAAACTATTGTTTCAGCTAGCCGCTGTACCAAAAGTGCCAACATCCGTTGGTGCAGATACCAAACCGATGTCGGATAAGGACATAGAAAACATGTTAGCTCAACTCAGAGGGTGAATCCTTCCTTTGCCAAGTGATTGTAAATAGGAGCAGAGAACTGTCTATCACGTTTTTTACTTTGTGTTACATAATGTTATCGAGTTTTAAGCATATGTACATATTTCTGGACAAATTACCTTGCATATGATATTACCAGGTTTTCCTTGGCCTCCTTTGAGTTAGTTCTTAAAGCATAAACGGGATTATTCGAACACCTTTAAAGTTCGTATCATCATTTTCATTTCCTTCTGTGTTAATGGTGATGCCAATACTGTTGATAACCTTCATAAAAGCAGTCCGATGGAAAACTTCTTTATGACATCGAGGAACAAAATACAAATGTGTACCAACATGAATACACCAATGGGGAGACTGACAAGACAATCGTGATCTGTCGCGTTTTCGCGCGCGGCGACGTGCAGCAAACCCCTCATCAGTTGGCCGACTGGAGCAGCGAAACACGTTTTAACTTCAAGCGAAGATAACATTCCATGACGGCGACATCGAATTTTCTCGTCCTCTAGCACACGAATTCAATTGGGCAGGAAGGGCAACTCGTTCGTTGCGCTCGCCACGCCCATTAGCGCGGCGTGTTACGATTGTCTTGTCATTTGCTCCACACCGAAGTAGAGGAGATCGTTATGTGTTACACATAGGAAATCGTTATGTGTTAGGCATAAAAACAGATAAGTCAATGTTCTTCAATGAGTAAGATAGCTAAAAACAAACCAGTAGAGCATAACCACGAAGACGTAACTGTAACCAAGGTAACCTGAAACACTACCTCGC